GAAGGAAAAAGAAGAGAAGGAAAACGACGTGAAAAAAGGAAGAAGGGGAGCAATTCAAATATTTGTAATTGGTAAGAAATGTTTGTAATTGAAACGTTTATTTGTCTTGATGATAAACTGATATTGAAGTGAGTCCGAGGAAACATCACTAAAATCAGCTTACTTTTAAGCAATCTCCAGTAAAAAATTTATCGACATATTTGTCAACAGATGGTTCCTTTTGGGATGCGTGACCATTCGGGCCACTTTCATGTGACCCGCACTCGCTCTGCATAAAAATCGGAGGCACAGAGAGTAGGCAGGGAAGCAGTAGTAGCAAGTGCCAACAATAACTATTCACTGGCAATACTATCGGTGACTCGCTTTCGAGAGTTATAAGCAGTGGTGGATCGAGGAAGGGAGACTCTTTTCCTCCTTTTCTTCGGTTTCTTTTCTTCTTGATATTTCTTCTTCAACCTTTAATTAAGAGGAGGGATTTTTCGCCCTTCCCTCTTTCCTTCCAGGAGCTTAGATATTAGTTGTTTTACTGTACAAAAGTTTGCTCGGTACCCCCTGTTGCCCCTTCCCCAGGAGACCACCCTGGATCCACCTATGCTGATGTCTGGAGTTCCAAAAACACTACAGAATAATCCGATTAATTGAAGTAGTGGAAAAAAAAAAAGAAACGTACCGCGGCGAGAAGTTCCTCATCGCTCTGCGACATCTTTCACCGATAATGATAATAACCGGTAAGACTAAAAAGTATACAAACATTGATTTAATGAATTATTTTTCGTTAATCTATTACCAATTTGTCCTCTTTAATAACATTCCAGTACTTTCATCCCCTCCCCTGCCTCCCCCCCCCCAATTTATCTCCTTTGATAACATTGCTTCACTAAATACGTCCAGCAATCTCATCGTTTTGATGACAAATTTTACAAAAATAGCACAAAAGGTGCAAATCCAAAAACGTGCATGCAAGAATGAAATTTTAACAATTCTTAACTGAAAATTTATCGCCCAAAAGCATCAGATAACAAAATACTGCTATATGGACCCATGGCCCCCTAAAAATAACAATGATAAACCAACAGGACTGTCCTGAGGGTAAAATATTCGCTTATAAAAGGCTTACTGAGTCAAAAAAGCAACAAATTGTACCTAATTCTGTTGCGAAATTCAAAGTGCCTATGTCCGCTTCCTTAACAACAACAATAAAATAATAGAATAGAGGGACTGGATTAAGTGTCATGTGTAAGAAGACATTTTACGATGCAGTCTCTGTGTTTCTTAAAGGTTTGCACCCTGAATTTTTTTGCTTTTAAACTAAATTTAAGCAATCACTGAGTCAAAAACCAATACGATTCGTAAGTACCTCAAGACAGTTCTGAAAAGGTTATACAGTCCCTTACAGATAACAATGCTGAACTCTGAGGACTGTGTTCTGAGGTAAAATTTTCGCTTATAAAGGGCCTACTCAATCAAAGAGGTAGCATTTCTACACACTTCTGTTCTATTCAAAGCGCTTATGTTCGCTTCCTTAACAAGAACAATGAAATCCAGTAAAGCGGAGCATCCGGAATCTTTTTTGCCTTTAAACAAAATTCAATTAATCACTGAATCAAAAATTCGTATGATCAATAAGTACCTCAAGAAAGTCCTGAAAAGATTATACAGTCCCCTACAGATAACAATAATGAACCAACAGGACTGTTCTGAGCGTAAAATGTTCGCTTATAAAAGGCTCACTGAGTCAAAAACTATATCCAGTTCTGCTCCCATATTTAAACAACCTATGTTCGCTTCCTTAACGAGAGCAATGAAATAGCAGAATAGAGGGGTTGGACTAAGTGTTATATGTAAGAAGACATTTTACGATGCAGTCTGTGTTTCTTCAAGGTATGCACCCTGAATTTCTTTGCTTTTAAACTAAATTCAAGCAATCACTGAGTCAAAAATCCGCGCGACCGGTACTTCAAATCAGAGAAAATACCTCAAGACAGCCTTGAAACCTGAGGGATGTTCTGAGGGTAAATGTTCGCTTACAGAGAGCCTACCGAATCAAAGAGGTAAAAATTATACCCAATTCTGTTCCCACATTCAAATTGCCTATGTTCGCTTCCTTAACTAGAGCAATTAACCCAGTAAAATCATGTATCCTGAATTTTTTTGCTTTTAAACTAAATTCAAACAATCACTGAGTCAAAAATCCGTACGATCTGTAGTACCTCAAATCAGAGGAAATACCTCAAGACAGTTCTGAGAAAATTATACATTCATATGCTAAATGAATAAATTCTACTCATACCACTGTTCAACAGGGAATGTGTGTTTTAACAACCAATAAGTATAAACCAATAAGTAATATTATGCACCATTTTAACAGGGTGCCAAGAAACCATGGCACATAGAATAACAATCGACGAAAAGTTGACTAGCTACTAGTAGTTCAGCGCTAAGATACACTCATTTATGCCTTGCAAAGATCGCAAGAAATATTAATTTTGTCTCAAAAAAACGCCGTTTTAGTAATAAAACCTTCCAAAACTGTCGTTGAAACGAGATTCTACTGTTTCTAACTTTATAAAAAATCACAAAATTCTGAAAATATCTTGATTTTTTCTTCCCTTTTTTTCAGGAAACTGATTATTCAAAGTATTAAATTAGCTCTTCTACCTGTTCGTTCTGTGGTACTCAACTACATACTCTGTGCTCGACGACGGAATGAGATTTGTAAGCAGGAAGTGCGGTAAAACTAGATTTTTGATAAAAAACTAGACTTTTTTCATACCAAAACAGAGCGCAAAAATAGTTTTTGCATCCTGTAACTTAAAATTAGCGAAAAACCTTTCATAAGTTATTTTTTGAAAACTCAAATCCGTGATTTTTCAACCAAAAACAGCCAAAAAGATGCTGTAAGTGCTGCTGCAAGGCATAAATTGCAAGTGCTGCCTAAAATAACAAAGAAATTCACCAGGATAATTTAAAAAAACAATATTATTAGCAACCTATAATCATCAATGTTACTCGTTTTGAAGTAGTTGTACAGGAGAAATATGAGACAGAAAAAGAAGGATTATGCCTGAGTTTGTGGATTGTTGAGATCGACCACAGATATGTAAGTAGGCTGCCGGTCGAGATAGTTAACTCACCGTTATAATTTACATAAACAAAATAGAATTGGGAAAAAACAAGCAAAAGCAACAAGAAATGGTATGAACATATGGTTGGTGTCCTGTTCCGTGTACGGATCCGCAACCAGTGGCTCATCTTCGAAACGATGCATATTTACACGGGAATCCAAGTCCAGCTCTTCGTCCTCGATTTCATCATCCGTTTCACCTTCCACTAATACATCTTGCAGTGGTGGAATGTCCTATAATGAATTGCAAACCAAAAAAAAAAATGACAGCTTTGCAAAAACAACAACCCAGGCTTCTCGACGCGACAATGCATTTTTGCGCTAAGCTTGCAGATCGCTAACAGCAGAAATGGTCTTACGCCTTATTTAAACATTTAGACTCATACTGGCTGTGTTTTGGCCCCTTTCCGCATGCAAGAGGAAAGGGCGTCGGCTGGGATGAAGGTGTTGCATTATGGGGATGCATGGGCCTCTAGCGTGCATGATTAACAGTTTTTTGCATGAAGCCCGGTCGTTTTTCCGATGCATGGTCGTTTGTAATAAAAATGCAAATTTGAAGGAAGTCCGAAAAGGAATATAAAATCTGCAAAACGCACTCGCTTTTGAGCCTGCTAGGTAATGATCACGTCTGTCGGCAAGGGATTTCACCTCCAAACGGAATTAAGACCATACATGAATAAAGAATGTCTTTGCAAAGTTACAGCTTCGCAGCTTGCCTGGTAAGCGAAATAATTTCAGCTTCCCAGCCTTCTTGTCCAAGTGCACTCGCTTCCGAACAAAGAGGAACTTTCGACAATATGCATTTTTGCTCGCTGTAGCAGCGCTGTAGCCTTTGTACAGCTTCTAGCAGAATGAAGCTTCACAAACCCCATCAGGCTGACCACCAGGTATTGTAAGCTCGGTCACAGAATCCACGGAAAGATTCCTGGGCTTCGATGGCCTGATGGAGTCTTTACGATAGAAAAAACGAACATCAAAATACAGAAGGCAAGCTTCTATATAGTCAGTGTGGAAAATCATCATGTTCCTTGCCATCTCACAGTTGTGAAAAGCAATCTTTATTCATTGGGTCCGTAATGTAGTAGATAAAAAGTAATGGTCGAAAAAGAAAAAAATACTGGAAACTCTTACTGTTTTAGGGCCGCGATATACGTAGAATGCGTTTATTTTTGGATTATCCAAAGCACCCTGAAATGGAAAAAAAACAGTAGAATATAATCCAACCTAAAAAAAATCTGACTGATAATCAAAATTAAGAGTTAAACTCCCCCTCCCCCCATAACCACTCTCTGTAACAGGCGGGGCATTTCGCAATACTCTGAAAGTAGCAAGCACCAACAGCAATTACCCACTAGTGGCTCTCTTTTTCGCAAGTTACTTACATGTAAACTGATGGCGTATTCGATTATCTGGCACATGTCATTAACAATTCACCACCAAAATGAATGAAAAATCGCACAGCGATGAGCTATGCTACCAGCGGAGTCAAACCGTCAATTTATAGCTGTTAAAATCTGTCGAAAAAGTCTTAAATTTGCAAAAGTAGGTCCAAACAGGCTGTACTGATGATTCCTGCTCTTATCCGCATGCAAAGTTCGGTCTGTGTTTACAGCTAAGGGATGAAACACAAGCAGACCGCATCGTAAAATGTCTTCTTACACATGACACGTAAGTCCAGCCACCTCTATTCTATTATTTCAATTGGCAATTTTTAACTGTTAAAATTTGCCGAAAAAGCCTCATATTTGCAAAAGTAGGTCTAAAGAGGCTGTTAAAATCGGCCGAAAAAGTCTCATATTTTCTTAGCTCAAAAAAAAAAACTTATAAAAAATTAATGAAGCGACAAAAAGTAAAATCAGAGTGAATGAAAAAATACCTTAGCGAATGTGATCCTCAGATGCGAGGAAGTGTCACGACGATTGCCAACTATTAAGATGCCTTTCTTTACCTGCAAATATAAATACATTTCTTAACTCCCGGGTAGGGTAATCCGAACAAACAGTGATGAAATCTCTTGAGAGAGCCTTTCGTCTCCGCTGATTTATTTATATTCCCGAATTGAGCGGCATATAAAAGTAATCTTAGCAATCAAAGGCCTTTTAACTAACCTCAACGAAAGATTGGACTGTAATTTTGGTTGGCTCTGTTTACAGTTAAGGGATGAAACACAGATAGACTACATCGTAAAATGCCAAATGGCAGAGCGGAACAGCGCTACTGTCTTTTCCATTTTATTAAAGGTTGAAAAGAAAATATCAGGAGAAGAAGGAAACAATGAAAAGGAGGAAAAGGATAATAAAATGGGAAAGGTGTCTAGAGAAATATTTGTTATAGGCAAGAAATGTTTCGGTCCATTAAGTCGTATACATTTCTTAAACTATCCTCGACCTATCTGAAAACCTTCGGACTGTGGCCGCTCCACATTTTCCATGTTTCGGACTGCTATAGCTTCAAATACTTCGATCTGCCAACGGCCGCAAATTATCCTTAAGATTACGAATTGGTCCTAACGGCCAAAATTTTATATTTTTCCGTACGATTCGAAAAATAACAAGATTTACGAAAGTTTTTACATCGAGCAGGCGTAGATACAAAAAAAAAAACCACACTCTAACTACCAGCGCTGAACTTGCAAAGACCTACAGTGCATCAAAAATCAAATTTTCGTTCGAAAGATTCAAAAGACAATTAAAATAAAGAACTGGATTTCTTTCTGGCAAGGAAGAATTAGTTTTACGCAAAAGTTGGTTGAAAAATTACGTTTTACTTCCCTATTTTTTGCCCAAAATTACGTTTAATTTGCTCGAAAATAGCGTTTTTTTTTTTGGTATTTTCGTGCCAAACTTCGCCTTTTCATAAACCAATCTAATGCAAATTTAAAAATTTCAGTGGGATTTATGTCCCTGGCCAAATTCACGCCTATTCTGGCAAAATTATTCTTTTCTGGCTCAACCGCTCTCCAGCTAAAATTCGCGCCTCATGACTTAATTTTTAGTATTTTTCTTCACAAATAATCAATTTTACTTATACTCACCTCATTTCCCCTCTTTTCTCAGTGGAAAAGGAAAAGAAAAAAAAAATCATACAAGTAAGAGCTTTTACCTTCAAAAACTCGGAGAATTACGAAACTTATTACAACTTAACGAAACTTAACTTGTCAAAACTATAATTTGATAAGTCACAGTGCTATCTCACATTAACTTTTTTGTTACATCTCATCGAAAGTTAGAAAAATCCCGGAGAATTACGAAAATAAAAAAGCAAGGACTTACATAAAATGTTATTAAACGATCATAAGCAACGCCAATTCCGCCTGCCTCTTTGAAAATATCCAATTCTGGTATCACAACCTCACCGTTCAATAGCACATCGAACACCTGAACCATAAGAAAACAACTTATACAGAAAATAACAGTACAAAGGTAACAAAAAATCGTCCGAACAATCGTTGTATGGTTCCAAAATTCGTAGCGTTTTTGGATCCATACATCCACTGTTCGAGATAGTTCTTTAACTATACTATTTTTTGGCCAGCTATGCTAGGAAGTTCGATCAAAAGCTCCATTCCTCAAACTAGCCGGTCCAGGGCGGAC